CTAATTTCCCACTTCAGCCCGTATAAGAATCCCTGTGGAAAAATAAACTTTTGCAGCTTGATCGGAGTTCTTTGTCTTGCTGTCATTCTTCGTGTCTCTTGTCCCATCATTCCAGGTCCCTGGGAGTTCGAGTCTCCGTCTCCTGCCCTGCAGGTCGGGGCAAGTATCCCTCTGATCTCTACATACATGCATGACATGTGCTCACACACATCATACAAATACACAATAATAATAAAATTTAAAAGGGAAGGCAGAACCAGTGCCCTTAACCTCTGAATCATCTTTCAAGCCCCTCAAGACTTTCTTTTTATTTTTATTTTTTGGTCTTTTTGAGACAGGTTTTCCCTGTAGCCCCAGTTGTCCTGGAACTCACTGTGTAGACCAGGCTGGCCTTGAACTCAGATATCTGCAGACTCCTCCTGAGTGCTGGGATTAAAGGTGTGTGCCACCACACCCAGCCCTTTATGTATGAATGTACTCCCTGCATGTGTGTAAGTGCATCTGTGTAGTGCAATGCCCATGGAGGTCAGAAGGCATTGAATTCCCTTGGAACTGGAGTTAATGGATGGTCATTAGCCACCATGTGGGTGCTAGCATTCCAACCCCCATCCTCTGCAAGAGCAGCCAGTACTCTTAACCGCTGAGCCATCTCTCCAGCCCCATCCCTCAAGGCTTTTTTTTTTGGCCTTTTTTGAAACAAGGTTTCCCTGTTGCCCAGCTGGCCTGGCCCTGTTGCCCAGCTGGCCTGGAACTCATTATGTAGACCAGGCTGGCCTTGAACTCACAGAGATTCTCCTGCCTCTGCCTCCCAAGTGCTGGGACTACAGGCGTGTGCCACCATGCCCAGCTATCCCTCAAGGCTTTTTTTAAAAGAAAAGAAGAAAGGAAGAAAAGATTCAAAAAAGTTTTCTCAAGTCTGGAGAGATGGCTCAGTGGTTAAGAGCACTGACTGCTCTTGCAGAGGACCTGGGTTCAATTCCCAGCACCCACATGGCAGCTCCAAACCGTCCTTAACTCCAGTTCCAGGGGAATCCGAAGCCCTCTTCTGACCTCCTCGGCATTGCATGACATGGGAACATTCACATATATGCAAGGCAATACACTCATACACATAAAAATAAGTAAGTAAATAATAAATAAAATATTTTAAAAAGTTTTCTCAAAGGAGAAAATTGGGAGTAAACACCAAGTAGGAGGAAATATGAAGGGTTAGTTAGAAGAGTGAGGCCAGAGGAAAGGGCCCTCCAGTCTAGCCATTCAGCTTGGCCTGGTCACACAGGCCTGAAATCCCAGTACTTGGGAGGTAGGATCAGGAATTCAAGGTCAGCTTGGCTGCATAGTAATTCAAGGTCAGGCTGGGCTACATACATAAGAGTATGCCTCTGGGGCTGGAGAGATGATGGCTCAGCGGTTAAGAGCACTGACTGCTCTTGCAGAGGACCCAGGTTCAATTCCCAGCACTCACATGGCGGCTATAAACCGTCCTTAACTCCAGGGGAATCCGAAGCCCTTTTCTGACCTCAGTGGCACTGCACGACGAGGGTGCACTCACATACATGCAGGCAATACACTCATACACATAAAATGGAAATAACAAAATATTTTAAAAAAAGAGCATGCCTCAAAGAGGTGTGGGAGGAGGAAAGGAGGCAGGGAGGGAGGCCGGAATGAAGGAAGATAAAAGTAAGACTGAAAAGGTATTTATGGGGTCTGGAGAGATGGCAAAAGACCCAGGTTTGAATCCCAGCGCCCACATGGCAGCTAACAACTGTCCGTAACTCCAGTTCCAGGGGATCCGACAGCCTCTCCTGTCCTTCTCAGGCATTGCACAATACGGGTGTACTTACCCACATGCAGGCAATACACCCATACACATAAAATATTAAAAAAAAAAAAAAGGTATCTATGGGCTGGAGAATTGGCTCAATGTTTAAGAGCACTGGCTGCTCTTGCAGAGGACTTGGATTTGATTCTCAGCACCGACATTAGCAGCTAACAACCTTCAATAACTCCAGTTCCAAGGGATCTGACACCCTCTTCTGACCTCTATGGGCATTTAAAGACATGGGTACACTACATACATACAGGCAAGACAAACAATAAAATACATTTTTTAAAAAATGGTATCTATTCAGATTTTAACTGGTAGAGGATCTAGTTAGTCCTCCAAAACTTGGTCTCTGAGGTGTCACACTGACTGAGTCCTGCTTTAGGGGCCAGAGCCCCTACAGGGGAGGGCCTCCAGTGCCAAAATCACCCCACAAAGCCCTACTCATTCTACATCTGTCATCCCCAGTGAAGGACTCCAGCCCCACAATGATAATAAGAAAGCAATTTTAATGCATAAGGCACAGTATAAGGCTGAAATAATTAGGCATCCTCAAATGAAAAGGGCCCAGCAGGGTGAGCAAAAACTGCAGAAACACTGCTCCCCACCCCCATTGCTGGGCACCCCAGAGAGCCCCAGAAGAGTACGGGGTCATCCAGTCTTTGGCCTGGTGCCTGGGAGCAGGAAGTGACTAGCATGGTCCCAGTTACCCCTCCAGGGGTCAACTGCCATCATGGGCAGCTCTTTGGTCTGGAAAAAGAGTCAGTGCAAATGTCCAGGGGTTGAGTTCTGGAATAGTCAAGATGGAACAGTGTCCCAGGAACAGGCAGTTTCTTGTCAGTCCTCTCTCAGGGACAACATGTGGCCTTTTTCTTGCTAGCAGTTAAGTAGAGGTTTTTGTCATCACTGTTGATACCTGAAGGGTGGGAAATATATAAAGCAGCAGTTGGAGGTTCATTAGTTCCCTTTGCTATCTGCCTGCCCTAAACCGGGTGGGTACTTACGGACAACATCTCCAATGTGACGAGCCCCAGATTTCTCCAGCTCAGCCAGTACATTGGCCTCAAAGGTCAGTGCTGCCACACGGAAGAAGAATTCCCGGACATTCTCACCTGACATAGGGAGCAGAAATAGGTGTTCAGGAGTAGCATCAGGTTGAGACACAGCTAGAGATGTAAGAGTCAGAGGGGAGGCTGGCAGGCACAGCAGAAGGCTGGGGCCCCCCAACTCACCAGTAAGGGATGACACGGCCCAATACTCAGCCTTAATCTCTTGGGCCACCTTGAGGGCATCTTTCTCCATTAAGGCATACTGAGCAGGAGTCTGTGGGAAGATCAGAATCAGATTGGGGGTGGGTCCCCTCACTAAGTTGGGAAACTCCCCCACTGGCACACTCACACTCAGGTCCTTCTTGGAACCCACAAGGAAGAGAAGCACGTTGGAAGGGTCATTCTCCTTGAGTGCATCAGCAAGCCACTGCCTGTCACAGATGGTGGATAGTGGTGAGGAATGAGTGAACCTGACATTCTGGTGCCCAGTTACCAGCTCTGGTCTGAGACATATCCGTTCTTTTCCTACACCAACCCCATGTCACAGGATTGAATACAGGATCATCTGCATTGTTAAGCAAGTGCTCTACCACTACATACACTCTTCTCAGATCACCTTTTCTGAACCCTCCCCAGAACTTCTTCCCATTGAGTTATGGCCTCCTTACATACTTGGTATGTTCCAGGGACACCACATCATTCAGGTTGAAGACAATGATGATAGCTGGAAGAGCAGCAGAAACAGCCTCAAGTTGATAGACACCCTTGGCTTATTTTTCCTATCCCCCAGCTCTACAAGAGAAGCTTGGTATGCTTCTTAGACTGTCTGCCCCACAGGGTCCAGCCTTTACCTTGAGCTCCTCGGTAGTAGGTGGAGGCGATGCATTTGAATCTCTCCTGCCCAGCAGTGTCCCAACTGGGAGGAAGGAGAGCAGAGTCTAGGTAAGTGGGGGGGTGAGGGACAGATAGAGTATGGGTGCAGCAATAAGGCTATCTGGAAAGGGTGGAAGAAACACTCACAGTTGGAGACTGAAGGGGACCCCGAACACTTCAAATCGTTCCATCTCAAAGTCCACTCCGATGGTGGCCTTGTAATTCTTATCAAAGGTGTCTTTGCAGAACCTGAGGAGGTGCCAGGTGCTCTGGCCTGTAGCCCAGCCCACCTGGCTAAGCCTGATCCCACCATGTCCTCACCTAGTCAAGCACCAGCACCCTTTCCTTACCTATTAATGAGGCAGGTCTTCCCCACAGACAGGTCCCCTACCACAATGACCTTGGATATCTTAAATCTGCTGAACAGAAGAGTGGGTGGACGGATAAACAGAGGGAGTGAAACCAGCTTTGCACTGCAGGGGATTCTAAGGCTCTTACTGGGTCCAGAAGGGTAGCTGCACCCCAGAAAGGTAGGTTATCATAGCAGGCCTCCCACACTTGCTTCCCCCCCCCCCGCCCCCGCGCG